CAATCTGTCTTTAACATTAACCTTTCTATAATATTTCAGAGTTAAACTAGTGATTGTTTTTGGGATCAGTTATATCTGTTTAGCTCTTGGTATTAGGTCTCATGTAGAGTGTATTAAATGTTTGAGCCGTGGTTCTAGTGTAGATCTTAGCTCTTCAAAATTATCTTAAGAGTATTTACAATGTATTGGTTGTAGTGCTGCCTATATGTCACGTAAATAAACTTAAGTCTTGGATGACATGGATAAAAATATGTAAAATTAACAAAATTCGCTCTAATGCAAAGAGACTAGGTCTCTACTTGGGTTTAAAATAGGCTTAAGGGCAGATCGGATCTCTTTTTCTGGCTATCACATCAGCAAAACCCCGTCTACTTCTATTTGCATTGGAGAGTATATTTTTTTAGACCGAGTCTATTTCTTAAGTGGCATGTAATTTTTTGTGATTAAACCCAAAGTATTTTGTGGATGGTGTAAGTAATCCCTTTTTTTTTCTTATGTTTTAAGTAATCAAATATATTTATTCTTTTTTTTTCAATCACAAAATTATTTGAAGTAATCAAATATATTTCCTATTATATATATATACATATATATATATAATATCATGTTCGAGCCACCTGCCTAAGGACGGCGGGGGAGCGGGAAGATGGTGTACCCCTAGGGGTTCGGTCGCCGCTAAAGAAGCCAGGTGATCCGCAGTGAAGTTCGCTTCGCGAAATACATGAGCCAGTACTACCGACCATTCACGATCTCGCAAATCTCGTATGGCCCGAACAAGACTATCGTGGATCCCACCCATGTCCTCTCGTCCCGTCACCATAGTAATCACGCTACTATTGTCAACCTCCGCCACCACCTTTCTAGCGCCCAAAGCCCATGCAAGAGATATTTTACTATTTAGTTACCAAAAAAAAGTGGCTGACTATGAGATATTACAAAGACATTGCTATATTCCATGTATTGTGAAAAAGCTTTGGTTTTTTTTTTCCAATCCACGAGTTGTATTCCACGATAAATAATTGATACTTAATTAAAATCTGAAGAAAATGAGTTGACGTTTTGGTTTCTTTTAGTCAGTGTTCGAAAAATCAGCCTAGGCGGCCGCCTAGACGCTAGACGCCAGTACGCCGCCGACGATTTGGCAAAATCGGCCATAAAGATCGGCCGGGAAGGCTCGGCGACGCTTAGTCGGGCCTAGGCGGGTCTAGGCGGCTCTCGGCGGTCTATGCGGCTCGGCGGGTTCGACGGAATTGGCGGGCTGAGGCGTCGCAGGCGGGCTAGGCGGCAGCAGGTGGCTCTCTCTTGGTGTTTACATTACAGGTTTAATATTTTTTTTCCTTTCTGTTACAAAACGACGTTGTTTATGCCTTAAGACAAAACGACGTCGTTTATTTAAGTTCAAATAAAAAAAAAACGAAAAATATAGTAAAACACTAAAACAGACTTCTCGGACAGAAGACTCAAAACTTCTCGGACAGAATGTAACTCTCGAGTCTCGACCCTCCTCGACGCGCCGCAGAACTGACTCACCGTCGGACAACCTAGTTCCATCGACGTGGACTCTCGAGCATCCCTCAGGTATTTTAAAATTTCTTTTTATATGGAATTTTTGGACATTTGACTTGGTTCACTTGGTTGTAATTAGGTTTTGTTAATTTTAGGATTTCTTGAAATTTATTGAAATCTTTTTATGTGAAGTTGATGAAATTTGGTGTTGGTTGGTTAGCGAGAATACCATTGTGGTGTGTAATGGTTAAACCATAAGGATGTAGACAATGTGTTCGATGAAATTTCAAAGAGATAACTTAGTAAAAGTTCAAGTATGTAACATTGGAAAATTGAAAAAAAATAATATACATTCATGTATATTGTGTTTTTTTGCAACAATGTTGTTGAAATATTATTCATTATTTTTTTGTTAGGTTTTTTCAATGACTAGTAGTTCGGCATAAAAAAGTACTCCATGTGATTCCCGGACGTCCACCGAGGCCGAGAATGATTCTCAAGTATTTAAAAGAAAGTCGGATGACATATGTTCGAACTATGGTGTTCTAGCCGATCCATATAACAAAGATAGGGTGAAATGCTAGTTATGTAGTAAAGTTGTGTCGGGTGGTATACGTAGATTGAAAGAGCATATTGGTCAAATTTCCGGAAATGTTGTTTCATGTAGAAAAGCAACAAAAGAAGATCAAGCTAAATGTAGAAATGCCATCAACAAGTTCAAAGCCAAGAAGATGAAGACAAAAGAACTTCAAGAAGTTAAAGGATTGAATATTGAGTCCTCTCAACAATGCGAAAAAGCAAAAGAATCTCACTCTCTTGGCCCAGTGGATAGATTTGCTACAACAATCAACCCGAAAGTATCATTGAACGTGGCAAAGACGATGCGGGAACAAAACATTAATGATGCTATTTGGAAAGAACGATCCAACTGGTGAAAGATTATTTAGTCGATTGGGCTTATGAAACGGGCATATTTTTCAATGTACTTGAGCTTGATAGCTTTCGGCTGTTTACCGAAGCGCTCGGTCAATTTGGGCCGAGGTGGAAGCCTCCTAGTTCATATGAGATGAGAGAGCCATTGTTGAAGAAAGCAGTTGAAAGAACCAAACTCAAGGTGAAACCTCATGAAGATGAATGGAAGAAGAGTGGTTGCTCGATTATGACCGATGCTTGGAGTGATAGAAAGAGAAGAAGCATCATGAATTTGTGTGTGAATTCTAAAGTTGGAACAATGTTTCTATCTTCCAAGGAATCTTCCGATATATCTCACACAAGTGAAATGATTTTTGAGTATGTGGATCAATGCATTAAGCAAGTTGGGCCCGAGAATGTTGTTCAAGTTGTGACGGACAATGCTTCAAATAATATGGGAGCGGCGAAGTTATTGCGCACAAAGAGGTCAACTATCTTTTGGACTTCATGTGCCGCACACACCATCAATCTTATCTTGGAGGGCATTGCAAAACTATCCCAGCTCACCAAAACCATTGAACAAGCAATGGCATTGACTATATTCATTTATGCACATCATAAGACCTTATCCATGATGAGGTCTTACACTAAAAGGAGGGACATAGTAAGACCCGGAGTCACACGATTCGCCTCTTCATTTCTTAGCTTGCAAAGCTTGATGGAAAAAAAGGCACAATAAATGGCAATGTTTACTAGCTTCGAGTGGGATGAGTGCAAATAGTCCAAGACGGTGATGGGAAAGCAAGTTACAACACCGTGATGTCTATTGATTTTTAGAATGGTGTGACTTCTTTCTTGACTATTTTTGCTCTTTTAGTGAAGGTGTTTCGTATAGCAGATGCCGATAAGAAGTCGTCAATGGGATTTTTGTATGGGGAGCTTATGCATGCCAAAGAGGATATAAAAAGTGTCTTGAACAATCTTCCAAGAACTATGATCCCATCTTAAAAATCATTGACACGAAGATGATGGGTAGATTGGACACCCCGTTGCACTTGATGGCATATCTACTAAATCCTTATTATCATTATAAGGACCCGAATATCATACTAGATCAAGTTGTTTCGGATGGAGTTCTTGATTGTCTTGATGTCATTTGTCATGGTAACTTTGATTTGATGGATAAAATCATGAACGTTGAGTTTCCCATTTATAAGACAAAGGGAGGAGTCTTTAGGAAGCTAATTGCCGCAAAAGGTTGTACAGTAAACGACGAGAAGTTTG